TAGAACAACTCCCTTAAGTGGGGAAATGAATTAGTTCAGTTAGTTGGCTGGAATCATGGTTCACCGACGGAGTTTTATTCTGTGTTTGGAGATTTGTGGATTCCCCGTTTGTTGTTTGTTCGTGACGGGGAGAAAAAAAGGAAAAAGGAAGAAAGAATGTGAAAGAATATTCTATTAGCAATAAGTTTTGCTGTGCTGTGTATATTGAGGTGCCACATTTCTCTTTTTGTTTTATTTCGCTGGGGGTTCTTTTTTTCTCTCTCATTTGGAGCAAGCAGTATTGTACGCGGTGGATATTGTACTGGTACCTTGTGGGAGGTACAGTTATTGTATTATGGTAAGTAAGTAAGCAAGCCATCGTAGCAGGCAAACAGTAGAAGTTGGTAGCCTGATCGCCTCAATTTGCTGTGCGCGATATAGACAATATGAGGATGGGCAATGCAGCACGCCACGATGCACGGAAAGCAGCCGAGGATGTATTCCAGACATAAAACCTTGTATCTATCTGATTAAGAGTGTTGATCTATCATATTGATGCGATCATTCTTGCGAGCAAACAGCAAACAGCCACCAAACAAATCTAAATGTGAGTAAGCAGTACCTGCCAGCCTGCCTGGCAGACAGACAGACCAAAACAAACACCCAGCCTTGGCATGTTTGTTCCCCCGAACAACATCCGCATCCGCAATAATATCGCAACTTCGGCTTCAATTCTGCCAGACCAGCGCTGCAGCTAATTCAACTCCATTGACTTGCCATTGACGATGCGCGGCGCGTCCAACACATTCCCCTAGGTATACACCAGTATATTCCATGCAATTACAACCAATCCCAACTAACACCACCCGCCAGTCCACCCTACCACCCAAAATACACCACCACACCTTAAACCTCCGAACAAAAACAATCTACAAACACTCACATCCAACCACACCAAATACAACCGCCAAAATGCTCCGCCCAACCTCAACCTCAACCACCACCACCACCCTCCTCCGCACCCTCCGCGCCCTCACCACCGCCCCCACAACCACCACCACAACCCCCAAACGACACCACTCCTCCGTCTCCGCCAACGAACTATCCCACTTCTCCTCCCTCGCCACATCATGGTGGGATCCCCAAGGCCCCTCACGCGTCCTCCACCTCATGAACCCCGTCCGCCACGACTTCATCGCCTCCTGCCTCGCCGAATCGACCCCAATAAGCAGCACGACGCCATCCTCACCCATGGACCCCACCAACACCCTTAACAGGAACAACCTGCGGTATCTCGACATCGGCTGCGGAGGGGGCATCTTCGCCGAGTCACTAGCACGCACAATCATCCCAGCCTCTTCACCTTCTGCATCATCAGAAGCTACTAGTGGTACTCTAACCCGCACCCGCGCCGCCAGCATAACAGCGCTGGACCCCAGCCCCACGCTAATCAAGATCGCACGGGACCACGCGCGTCTCGACCCGTCCGTGCAAGCGCACCTGGATAGCGGGCGGTTCAAGTACGTGAATGCGTCGTTGGAGGAGTTCATCCCCACATTACAGCCCGAGGAGAGGAGATTCGACATCGTGACTCTCTTCGAAGTGCTCGAGCATATCGATAATATCCCCGGGTCGATCACACCGCAGAGTTTCCTGTCTAATTGTTTGTCTATGGTGAAGCCGGGCGGATGGCTGATTGGGTCGACGATCGCGAGGACGTTCCCGTCGTGGTTGGTTAATCAGGTTGTGGCGGAGGCGCCGTGGCCGATTGGGGTGGTGCCGAAGGGGACGCATGAGTGGAAGAAGTTTGTTAATCCTGGGGAGTTGGAGGGGTGGGTGCAGGAGGGGTTGATGAGGGGGGTGGATGGGAGGGCTGTGAGGGGGGGTAGTGAGGCGTTGGAGGGGGCCAGGTGGAGGTGTGAAGGCGTGGTGTATTTTCCGGGGTTGGGGTGGAAGTTGGTAAAGGGGTCGGAGAGTTGGGGGAATTATTTTTGGGCGGTTAGGAAGGGGGAGTAATTCTTACTACTACGTAGTAGGAAGTAGGAAGTTGTTGTTGAGGTGGGATTGTATATTACTAGGTGGGTGGTGTACGATATGTATCTATAGATGCAGTGCTTGAGTTACTGTCATAGCATTAGATAGGTGTTTCATTGCATTAGGTTCTTTCTTGCATTGGTGCTGTTATACTAATGTAGTGATATACGTGGATTGTGTTGTATCAATAGACCTGCTGCATGTTGATCCATCGACTCGGACCGGCGAGCTTAGGATAAACCCCCCCTCGATCACTTCTTCCTCCCCTTCCCCTTCTTCTTCGGCTTCTCCGGTTCAGGAACACTGACTGTCCCCTGCACCACATCATCGCCCTGATCCTGCAGTCGCGCCGACCCGCTGATAAAGAAAGTAAGATCCCGATTCTGCTCCGTCAAATCCGCATTCGCAAGCTTCAGACTCTCCACCTCAGACTTCAATAGCTCAACCCGTTCAATCAGATTCTCATTCATGGTCTTCTCTTCCCGCCACTCCTTCTCCATCTTGCGCGTCATCGTCTCGAACTTCTCCGCGCGCTTCTCGGCCCGCGCCTTATCGCGCTCCAGCCCGGGGATGATCTCGCTAGTCAGGGTATCATATTGCGCCTGTAGGCTCTTCAAGCTGGCGGTGGCTTTCTCGACTGCGTCCTGCGCGGAAGAGGCAGCAGCACTGGCTTGGGATGCTTTGTCCACGGCACGCTCGACTACCTCTTCGAAGTAGGCCCGCTGGCTTTCAAGTTGGCTAGTAAGTAGATGGGTGTATTCCACGCTCATGTTCTCCAGCTTCTCCCGCGGAACGGCGTCCGTCCAGTCGGGTGGATCGAGAGCGCTGTTGTCGGCTGCTGGAAGTTCCACGAGCTTGCCGTCAGTTTTGCTTTGGATGATGCGGTGCACGTAGGCATCGCCGACGTAGTCCCAGACGCGCTGCGTAGAGAGATCCATTGCAAAGGCATGCGCCGTTTCCTTGTAGTGCGCGAATGCATGTGCACCGTCATAGCGTCCACAGCCGACGTTTCCGCAAATAAGGCATATCCAGAGGTTTATATCTGAGTGGCACACGCTGCACTCGGCTGGTTCATCATCATATAGCGCGGCTTGGCTGTTCCGCCGGATGTCGTCTTGTGTGTATCGACATACGGGGCAGCCACTTCCTTTCCACTTCTGTAAACATGTGCAGTGAAAGACGTGCTGACATATAATAGTCAGCAAGCCGGTGGTCTCATCCATACGCTCCAGACACACGGGACATGTTGGCAATTCGATAAGCGCAGGGGTAGGAGGCGCCAGCGGCCTGGTAGAGAGAGTAGCGGAAGGTATGGAGCTTGACTGAGTAGTTGAGATAGGCGTTGTCCGCACAGGGCTCGTTGTAGCGTGTGGAGAAAGAAGGCCGCTCTGTGATCCAGACAGCGCGCCCGGCTCAACGGCTTGTATTTCGACGGTCTTTACGAAGACGACATGACAGGTTTCGGGCTGAAGCAAGGGCGCGTTAGCATCGCAGCCGTGGATCTGCATCAAGCAATGCATGATGCACTTACCTCCATGCTGTTGAACACCTTTCCATTCCAGTCCTTCTGCCACTCCTTGGCCTTCTTCCCATTGCGGAACTTCATCAAAACCATATACCGGTTCGCTCGAGCAGTCTTGATCATGCGGAAATGATTGACATCGTTCATAGTCGATTCGCCCACGAACCCCAGAAAGTCGGATGGCGACATATAGGAAGGGACGGCTAGGATACATAATGTCGTGCATTCCTCATCTGGCATGTGCTCTTCTGCGCGCGGGGGCCTACTGCTACCGCCCACTTCATCGTACGGTGTCCTCGCCGCAGCCGCTGAACCTTTCAAGTACGAGGGGTAGTCCTCTTCTGTCAGGTACGGCGTCTCCTGAGCATCTCGGTATAGATGCACGATTCCCCAAACACTGTCCGAAGTGCTCTGGTCCAGCGGGATGTATTTGCCTTTCGTGCGTAGTCCTCCCAAGATATCCGTGCCGATCCCGGTCGCGATGGGGTTATCCTTTGCGTCCTTCCAGCCCGTCCGCTTCGCAGCACTGGTGTCCTGCTCCGATGGAATCATATCAATGCACTCGATGGATACTTTATCAAGCCTGAGATCTCTCTCGAGATCGGATGCGCTTGTGGACGAAGTCGTGTAGAGGTGAGGGGTACGGGGGTCTGCGACGTTGGTAGTAGAGTCCGAACCGTGGGTTTCGGCGAAAGTGTTGGATGAGGGGCGTAGGTGTTTCCCATGCGCTTGATGACGAGAGGATCGATGTGCCCACGGTGAGTGTCGGGGGCGCTTCTGGAACGGGAGTAGAGCTTCGCATGCGGAGTCGAAGGATAGCGATGTCGAGTGCTTGTCCACGCCTGGGTAGGTGCCGTGGAGGTCAGAGTGCGGGCGAGCAAATAAATCGATCGCAATGTGGTAGAAGTAGGAGGGCATCACGACTGATGCTCACATCTCCAGCGTGTTACACGTCTGCAACTGCTCTCTCAGGTCGAGTTCATGAATGGAAGCTACTTTCCTGACCCACGCCGCCTTGGGACGGTATAGTCACGTGCTAAGATACGGGTGGCGAAGACGGTGACTCACCTGCGATGTCTATTAGTTCCTTGTTAGCGATTGTATAGGTAGATGAAGATGAAGATGAAGCTATTTTATTATCTAGTTAATTTCTTCGCATACGATCTGTAAGGTGGTGGACGCCGTCCTGAATTGCATGTGGACCACGTCTATGCTAGCGTGGCGGTCTACTTCCGGCGGTCCTACTAAATCTACAGGAAACAGTGCAAGCAAGATATCAGGTGGAATATAATTATTGGATAGATTCCTAGGTGAAAGAATGTCGCAAGGCACCATAGAAGATGATGACCCTAAGGTATGCCCAATTTATCCGTGTCATAAAACCGATAAAACAACCGTCCCAACGCCATGCAGGCCACTCAACCGTAGATGAGCCGTGCTAAAGAAGAAAGATCAAAAGAAGGCATTAGTTTCCGCCACGGAGACGGAGCACCAGGTGCAGAGTGCTCTCCTTCTGGATGTTGTAGTCGGAGAGCGTACGTCCATCTTCCAGCTGCTTACCAGCGAAGATGAGACGCTGCTGATCCGGGGGAATGCCCTCCTTATCTTGAATCTTGTTCTTGACGTTATCAATGGTATCCGAGCTCTCCACCTCCAGCGTAATCGTCTTGCCGGTGAGAGTCTTCACGAAGATCTGCATACCACCACGGAGACGAAGGACAAGGTGAAGGGTCGATTCCTTCTGAATGTTGTAGTCGGACAAGGTACGGCCATCCTCCAACTGCTTACCAGCAAAGATCAAACGCTGCTGGTCCGGGGGAATGCCTTCCTTGTCTTGAATCTTGGTCTTAACGTTATCGATGGTGTCGGAAGATTCAACTTCCAATGTGATCGTCTTGCCCGTAAGAGTTTTGACGAAGATCTGCATACCACCACGCAGACGAAGGACGAGGTGAAGAGTGGATTCCTTTTGGATGTTGTAGTCAGACAGGGTACGGCCATCCTCCAGCTGCTTTCCCGCGAAGATGAGACGCTGCTGGTCGGGAGGGATACCCTCCTTGTCCTGAATCTTAGTCTTCACATTGTCGATAGTGTCAGAAGACTCCACCTCAAGGGTGATGGTCTTTCCGGTCAGGGTCTTGACGACTAAAGTGAGGTCAGTGTACGGTCCAGGTGAAAGTGGCCAACAGGGTGGCAAATAGAGTTCAGGAAAACCTACAAATCTGCATACCACCACGCAGGCGGAGAACGAGGTGGAGAGTAGACTCCTTCTGGATGTTGTAGTCACTAAGGGTGCGGCCATCCTCCAGCTGCTTTCCAGCGAAGATCAGACGTTGCTGGTCGGGAGGGATGCCCTCCTTATCCTGGATCTTGGTCTTAACATTGTCGATGGTATCGCTCGACTCGACCTCGAGGGTGATGGTCTTGCCGGTGACTAGATGGAAACAAGCAGTCAGATGATGGATTCATGATGCTAAACTTGAGAGGTGATTAGGTATACTCACGGGTCTTGACGAAGATCTGCATGTTGTAGAAGCGCAGTTAACGGTGTATGTGATTAGGTGGAGTTGTTGTGGAGAGAATCGCAGATGGCGATGCGCGGAAGGTGAGTGGTAGGATGAGAGGTATGAGGGATGAAGGAGGGTTGGTAGAGGAAGGAAGGAAGAGAAGGCTTAAGTAGTCAGGAGAGGAGGTGAATGAGGGGAGGCGGAGGCGAAGCGCCTTAGTCAGAGGATCGGTCAGTGAGATAACGTGATGCAAGGGAATGGCTTAAGAGGTCAAGTCGCAATAAAGGGAAAAGAGCAGCAGGGACCTTAGCCCGAGCGGTGTTAGCCTGTCAGACGAAGTACCTTTCGGGCGACGCTTCTGGCACCTCCTGGGGAATTCCCTTGCCATCCGGCTATTGCGCCGGAATCCGCCTGGTCTGCGTCATTTGGTTCTCCAATACGCTTCGTTGCTGAAGCGCTTGGGAGGGAGAATCTACTAGAAAGGTTCTGGTTGGGTTGACTCAGGCTTCCACGGCAGCCACCTATTATTGGGTTTACAACTACAACGGGAATGGTCGCTGAAAGAAAAAGAGTGGTAACGCATACGAAAATTCTGTCTGCAAAACTTAGAACAACAGGCAAAAGCCTGATCCCATGTGGTAGGCACTGCTGCTGCCATGGGAGGGGAATCGAAGCCAGTTGGTTGCCGGGGCCTGATATCAGTCCGGGGGAAGCGTCTACGAGCGGACAGGACGACTCCGTCCGTACCCGCCACTGACGCCACCAGTCGGTATCTCAGCCCGACCCAATCCAGACCGCAGCCGTGTTCCTGAAATAGAACCCGTTGAAACTCGGAGTTTCTGCTGTCTATATATTGTTTCCCTTCTCATTGATAATTCGTATCATCTCACCAGGTAAACTGGGGGGTGATGATCAGAGAGGGAATGCGACAACTGGCCTTGCGGCGGCAGCAACGGCGATGACGTGTGAGTTGGGGGCATTCCTTATCGGAGGATGGAGGATGGGGGAAGGGGATCCTCTCCAGCTGTTATCTCGACGGCGCGGCCTCGGGAAGTGGCCTTAGGCCATTGCTAGCGGCTGGAGATGGGTCAGGTGATCGTCGCATCCGGAATGCCCCGCTTTTGGCCCGGCACCCACTGAATCGTATCCATGACTGCATGCATTCCAACCCTCATATACCAGCTCATCGTTTGCATCATCACTATTTACTATCCTCTACTCACCAGTACTAGTAGTTATGTATCAAATCTCCCTCTCTTGATAACTGTCCCTTGGCTGCGTCATCCATCGTGGTTGAGCATGCGTAGGTGCCACACAGTCTATTGCATTGGGCGGCTATTGGGAAAGTTTCTCCAATACGAACTAGTGATTCTTCTATTGTGGAGGGCATGATGACCCAACAATCTACCTCTATCGCGTTCAATTCCCTAGCTTGCAGGACAGGCAAGACCTTCCATTCATGGTTACCGTAGCTCGGAACTTTCTTCTGCTCTGGGGTCTAGAGATGGCTTTAGATAAACAAAGGAAAGGTGGTACCATTCTCAATCCCGTTGAGTGATCCGCTCTTCAATCAACAAACCAGTCACAACTCGCCGGCAAGGCGCATGCGGGCAAGCTGCTGTCGGTGTGATTTACCGTCCCCACTCAATAGCTAGGCATAATGGGCTTGTTGTGGGTTTGACTATCCTCGCTGTAGACGTTGGAATTGACCACAAGGTTGCCAAGATGTTAAATAGTTGAGATTGGTAGCAACAGAGATCCTGACTGAGTTCAGCACTCAGTCCAGTCAACATGGTGGTGACACAGATCGGAAATATGCACGGCGATTGCACCCTAAACTTTGACGCGACAGTGGACTCTCGCATCAGCTCTATTTAGAGCTCATCGAAGATACGTGACAGACCCCAGCATCAAGCACCCATGCTGGTGAGGGTGGACAGAATCAGCAAGAGTCTGAAGCAAAAAACCGGAACCGTCATAGGAGACCGGCGCTCTACCATTGAGCCAATAGACCAATGGAAACGATCTACATGGGACTCGAACCCACAACCTCCGGTTTTCCAAACTCAACCAATGAGCCAACGGACCGATTTAGGCGGGAGCTTCAAAAAAGTGATTAATGGGTGGTAGTCTAACTGGCTGTCTCCGAAGAATGACAGCTGTCAGCGGGTCTCACCGACCAGATGTTCGATGTTTGTTTACATCTCCAATGTCGGTAGGTATAGATGAGTTGACTGTACGCATGTTGCCTACAATTCTGATTACCTATATAAAGACCGAACACTTACAAATGCATGTCCATCATCGCTGCTGCTGAAGGTTGCTTGGTAAACGCGGACATTCAGCATCTGCAAGGAGTAGCTTAGTGCTCAGCTGCAGGCTGAAGATTGATAGATCGATCGTAGCGGAATTCACCCCCCTCATCTCCATCATTCACTCATCACTAGATCATTTATTTGTCTGAACCTCTATTGCAATCGCTCTCGTTTCTCCCCTCTGATATGGTTGCAGATCAGTGCTTATAGTTTCCTAGCTTGGTTCACTCGAGTATTCACTTGGTGCATCAGTGGTTCTTGGTCCCTACCCCTCACTCGCTTGAGACAACATTGTTCTTCTGGTTTCATCTTCCTTTGACACGCGACATTAAGCCGAGAGTATTTTCGTCCAAATAACACAGCATCATTGCTTCCCAGATGCTCATCTAGTGCCCACGATGTACGACTGTGAGACCTGCTCCCGCTGCTTTAACAGCTGGTATGCCTGTCGCCAGCATATGAACGACACGGGCCATTGGGGCGTGCGGTACGAATGCGAAACGTGCGATGACCAATTTTTGACTCAATGGGAAGTGGAGGAACATATGGATGACTACGGACACCACGCTCCCAAGATCCCTTGCGAGACATGCGGGAGGAAGTTCTACAACCAAAGGTCAGCAGATCAGCACATGAATGCAATGGACCATTGGGCTCCGACATGGCCATGCGAGACTTGCACACAGAAGTTCCATACGGAAGGTGCTGCTGAACAGCATATGCGGGCCAAGTCCCATTACAAGAACTACTGCCACCCCTGTAACCGGCATTTCGATAATGCGAATAACCTCAAGATGGTAAGACCTTCTATATCTTCCAATATTGTCATTCAACTCAGACTTCGCTTGTAGCACCTAAATTCGAAAATCCACCGCGGTCAAGACGTTCTCTGTCCTTTCTGCAACGCCGCTTTTACTACAGCCACTGGCGCTGCCCACCACCTTGAAACTGGCTCCTGCAAGCGTGCTGTAGGCCTCAATCGTGAGACTATTTACAAATTTGTTCGCAGCCGTGACACCCAGGGCGTCATTACAAGGAAGCTGCTTGAATGGAACGAGGATGACAACATTCAATACAAGGCTAATTCTCGTGCATACAACGGCGCTTACTGGGAGTGCTACTTGTGCCATCGGGAATTCAACCGTTTGACCGCACTCAATCAACATCTCAATTCGCCTGTGCACAAGCAAAAGCTGTATCATTGTCCGAACGCGAAGTGCAAAAAGCAGTTTATCACCATAGCTGCTCTGTTCAACCACCTTGAGAGTGAATCCTGCGCTTTTATGCGGTTTGAGAAGGTACAGCGGCAGGTTCAGGACGTGTTTCGTGGCCAGAGAGCTATTGCATTCTGAGAACAGCATAACACTATATGCCCCAGCCCCGAAAGCTGAACATGCAATTCGAATTGATGTCTGCTAATATGGTCTGAGTTCAGGTGTTGGTACTTCACAAGCTGATCTCAGATGCTGTCATAAGCCAGCTACGCAGGGCGTATGGCATGATCATGCTACAAGACTGCATCATTGAGGCGATTTTCTGACGTCTATCTCAATTGGCACATTTAGTCTGGTCTGCTATTCTAGCCTTAACCGCTGGCAGTTGTTACAATCTCATGTCATGAATTCCCCCGAGCATTGTTACCAGCAAAATGACAATAATCTGATCACTTCTTGGTTATTCATCTAAGATGTCTTGCTTGCCACTTTGATGTTTCTACCAGTTTAGTATCTCAAAATTGAAGAACTTGTCAACTACAACTTAGAATTGTCAAATAGGCCCTGTTCTTCCCAATGCAAAAATGTCCACCCATGTTCTCAAGCAATGTAAACACACAGGCATCATCCACGTGAACCAATCCTAGTATCACTTTCACTAACAAAGGATAATAGAGAAGGCTGGATACAGAACAGTTGTACATTTCAAAAACAACACCATAAAGAACTCATCTATGATATAACTTGCCACATCAGTACTACACTACTTTGTAAAAAATGAAGGAATTGAACCTCACCATCCCTCCCAACCGAATGGCAATGAAAGGGAATAAATGGCCTTGATCACCAACTGGAAGATTCCGTCTTCACCTACTTCATTACTTACTTAAGGCGTACCAAATACCTCACTCACTATCCGAAGGGGGCATCCATGATTATCGGTGCCCTGGAATCCTATGCTCAGTATCAAGGAGCTAGTAAACGAGTAAAGAATCGGGAATGTAATCTCCCCTTTTCTGTCATGAATGGACAAACATACAGATAACAAGCACTAGCCAAGTAGTAGATGTGATTTTACCTGATCATTGGTTGAATGTGACAGATATATACTAAGCAACAGTGAAGGTGAAGTATACTATGTCTTTGATAACAGACTGGATTATCGCTGAGTTAGAGGTGAAGAGAACAAGGAATGTAGAATTGACAACTTGTGAATGATGAGAGGCAACTCATCTCGATGTATTGTATGAGAGAACCTTTTCTTGCTCATGTTCCCTTGATGTAGACACACTACACTATAAATAGATGGATGGTTATTGTGTGAGTAGACAGTGATAAAAGGAAAAGAAACAAAGAAAGAAATATTTCCTTATGTTTCAGTCTGACTTGGTACCGGGGGGAAGTATGCATATGGCGTGGGTAGACTATATAGTGGGTATTCAGGAATAATGATGGTATACTTCTAGTATAGCTGTATTATCACTCCTTCC